GGGGCAGCAGCAGCACCTATTTGGCCACATGGAGCCTGGCCGGCAGCCAGAGCATGGCTCTGGACAGCCAGGCTCTGTTTCTGGTGGTGCACACTGCTGCTACATGCACCACATTTTTCACCATTTTTTTTTTGATGCTGAAATCTCCCAGTGTCAAGTTTTGGCATTGTGCAGCAAATTAGCAGCCTGGTGAATGGTGCACTTATGGTGCGTGCAGTTTGCAGGGCCTCAAATAACTTTGAGGCTCCGCAAACTACACATGCATGCTCGTCTGGACATGCCCCATGAGGGTAAAAGGAGGTTGAACGCTCCTGGCCAGTTCCTGCCGCTCCCTGTTGATGCACAGGAATGCTGTGACCAGAGAGCACATGGGCAAGCTCAACAGCTATTTGAAACCACTTGGGGATGGTCCCTGCAAGCAACACTTTCTTCAGTGGCCGTAAAGCTGCTAGTACAGTGCTCTGGGCATGTTTTCCCCTCTTCTATCAGTTGGGTTGTTGGGAGATGATGCAGCTCCGTTTCCAGACAGTTCAGTGTTCCTCAGATCAGGAGCTCAGCAGGGTCTTCAGGAGTTTGAGCCATAGTGGCTCCAAGCAAAGACAATTATGAGACTGGGTTTACTTAAGGCACTCATGCTATATCTGATCCCAAGGTCTGGAAAGCTCCCTTTCCTGGGGAGCCCCTGGTGACACCAGTGTAGTCATTTGCTGATGCAGATGGAAACATGACAGGAACTGCAGAGTTCTAGTCCAATCCATTCCTTCTGCAGTCTGCTGAGTGGGTGTCCTGTGCACTTCCTCATGCTTGCCACAGTAGCCTTTCCCTAGTGGATCACTGTGGCAGCATACCTGGGGACCAATACTACTGGGGCACCGCAAATCCTCAGCAGGGTCCATAAGAAGTAGGTGATTATACGCTACTACAATGTGCATCTTAGATAAGAGATCTCAGCCTCACTGCTGCCTGTTAGGTGCATTACTGGCATGCCATTAATGAGACTGTCTACCCTGTGGAGTTAGCTCAGAAAAGGCCCTCCCATCCCTCTCTCCCTGAGGAGACTATTCTTGGATTTCTTAACCCTCCCATTCCCTTCGCCAAAGAACAAGCCCCCTCTGACATGCTAAAATACTCACTGGCAACCTCATCTCTGTGGATCATGCATTCAAGGGAACCTGACCTTATGCCTGGTGTGTTAACTGGATGATTCTACTTAAATGACCAGCAGTAAAATAGTTTTAATGCTGGCATTTATCAGTCAGTTTCAGTGATAATTAACCTTCGATGTGACAGAATTAACCCTCCTCCCCACCCTACCTGGAACCTTCAATAGGTTCAAGCCCAGTCTGTGCAAGTGGGGTAAGCAGGTCAGTTGTGGGGGGTCTCTCTGATGTACAGATCTATTCCAGCAGCAGCTCTAGCATGGTTGTGTGATAGTGGTATAAGACACATAATACCAGCTGCCCAACCAGAGGAGCCGGCACTGGAATAAGCCTTTTGACACAAGTATATCCATGCCCACACCATAGTGTATTTTGCTTTAAAGCACCGCCAAGCAGAAGTATGGGTAAGGGCAATAGCCCATCCTTGGACCACAGATGGTGAGTGCAGAGACCAGGGCTCCATACGCAGCCCTGCCATCCCCTGGCAGGGTGACCTTGTCAAGTCACTTCCCTGGGCCTCCTTTTCCCCATCTGTAAAGGAAGGAAGGAGACCCCCCATTGCCCACCACCTTTTGGAATCCGCATCAGGAATCCAAAGGCCCCATAGAGTCGTCAGTGGCATCACAGCTCATACCTATCACACACCCCTCAGCAACCTGCTTCTGTGCTCTCCTCACTGCCCCTTCCACCTCGTTGAAGGGCTAAAGTTCATGTACTACTTCACCAGCAGGGTGGAGCTGAGAGAAGGGGATACCACAGACTGGGGGAATTCAAACTTGGAGCCCTCTGAAAGGCCTGTGCCTTTGAGTGACATTCTTTGTTAACGCTGCCTAATCTTGTCCAGCCCACCAGCCAGCACAACAGTTCTCCAGAGACGGGCAGGAGCCCAAGACTGCTGCTGGTTCAGACTTGCTAAATTCCCCACCCAAAGCCCTTTCTTAGCTTCAGGCTGTGGTTCAGCTTCCTCTCTCCTGTCTCAGGGCTGCTGCTGCAGCTCCTCTTAAGATCCATCAATTATTGACCTGGCTACCAAACCTGTTCTAGTCCAGCTAGGTGGGGGATCTCCACCCCTACCTGAGCCCCTGGGGGAGGTGCAGAGAAGAGGGGCTGGTGGCTAAGAACAGAACATGGGATGTTGAAGGCTAGAAACATAGTTGCTTCCAGCTCTGTTCAGCAGAGGGCACTAAACTGAGCACTTCACTTTGTTCAAGCACAAAAGCCTTATGAGGGGACTGGACTGGGAGAGCCAAGCAAAGGATTCCAAGGAATCCTTTATGCTGAGGCCGCTGCCCTCCTCCGCAAGCTGTGATTGGCGGCCAGGTAACCAGTGAAGTGGGGAAATCCCCTAACTCTAGGCACCAAAAAGTTCAAATCCTTTTTCTATCCAGGCCATCCATTCAGATAGCAAAATCCAATGCTGCTGTTACTAGGCCACATGGCCATGGCCATCAGCCAGAGATGGATCATGCCATTGCTTGGAGGAGGAAGGACTTGCCTAGTGTCTGGGGTGAGTCCTCAGAGAGTGAGCAGAGTACAGTGCTGCAGGGATAGCACAGCACCATTCCCTGCATGTGGCATCCAGGGAGCACTGGCAGGGGGTGGACATGGCCTTGACAGTCATTTACAACTGACAGGAATATTCAGAGAGGCCTCTGCAATGGCAGCTGCCAGGTAACATCTTCAAAAGGACCCAAGGCCTCAGTCCCCAGAAGTATTTAATTCAGTGGGAGCTCAGAGCCTAAATACCTTTGAGGATTTGGTCCTGCATGACTGAGGAGCCTTACCATCTAATGAGACTGAACATGGGACATGGTACTTTTGGAAACTGTGCCTCTTGCTTTTTTCTTTCAGTCCAGATGGACTGTCTGGGGTTTGGAACAGGTAGGAGAGAGGAGACAGAGCCAGGGAGCCTCAGCGTGCCCCTAAAACGCAGCCTGAAGAGCAAATGCAGTCAGGGACAAAGTCTCAGGCTGTGATGAATATAGAGCTGTCTAGACCTCTCCCTCTCTGACTGCCCTGATCCAGGAACAGCCAGTACCCCACCCACACAAGAACACACTTGCTCTCACTGAGCTGTGTTTGTTTTGGGGTCTAGTGATCAGCATGAGGACCTGGGAGTCAGGACTCATGGGTTCTGTACCTGATTCAGTCATTGACTTGCTTTGCACCCTTGGACCAGTCACTTCTGAGCTCTTCAGGTGAGCTGGGCTATCAGTGCAGTGTCTCACCCTGTGTTGGTTCTGTTTGACAGGGAAGAACCCTACCGATGAGTACCTGGAGGGCATGATGAGTGAGGCCCCAGGCCCCATCAACTTCACTATGTTTCTCACCATGTTTGGAGAGAAGCTTAATGGTACTGACCCGGAAGACGTCATCCGCAATGCATTCGCCTGCTTTGATGAGGATGCTACAGGTAGGGCCTCACTACACCGTAACACCCACACCAACACGCTGCCATAGCAAGACAGATCCCTATTCTTTCACCATACACCTCCTATGAGAGTGTGTGGAGCCACCAGGGCTGTTTCCATTAAGCTGGGGCTGAGGAGTAGGGAAGGGAGAAAGCCAGCTGGTTATTTGGCATCTGAGACAGGCTGAGGCTTGTCCAGTGACTGCTGCAGAGGAGCTATAGGCTGCAGCAGCCTTTCCTTCTCAGTTCCCAGGCTGAGTGGAGTGCTGGCCATCACTGACTTCTGGCAAACAAAGGAGTGTCTTTGCCAGGGGCTCCCTGGTGTGGTGTACTGGGGCCCTGGAAGCTAGGGTTGAGGTACGCTCTCAAACTTGCTAAGGAAGCCAAACTGATGGGTGCCACTGAGCTACAGACTTAAAAAACACAGATGCGTGAGGGATCTCTGCTGGGAGGAGTTCCTTCTGGAGGAGAGGCCTTTCCATCTCTCTGAGTCCTGCTTTCTCCTCTTCCAGAAGCTTGCAAATCAGCAGCTTGAATCCTCGTACTAGAACTGGGTCATTTTGTCCCATAGTGATAGAACTGGCAGAATCCATGGGTGACAGACATGTCCTGGTGGCAGGAGCTGTAATGGACTGAATTGGGATTGGGGTGTTTCTTGTGGACTATGATGCTGGGAGAAGTTAGCACTGCTGCCTCCATCTGTTCTAGCTCCATGAACCTCCTCTCCTTTCTTCTCCCTCCCATTCCTCTCCCCCTTTCCAGGTTTCATTCATGAAGACCAGCTGCGTGAACTGCTCACCACCATGGGCGACAGATTCACAGATGAGGAGGTAGACGAGATGTACCGAGAGGCCCCCATTGACAAAAAGGGCAATTTCAACTATGTGGAGTTCACCCGCATCCTAAAGCATGGAGCCAAGGACAAAGATGACTAGAACCAAGAGATGCCGATTCCACTCTGTCCTGTGCACGCCCCATGTCCCTCCTCCCTGAACACCCTTGCTGCCTCTGGCCCAAAGCCACGGTGGGATGACCTCATGGAAAATGCCTTAACACATGTTACAGGAGGACTTGACCTTGCTCTGTGTTAGGGATGAGGTGGCACAGACACAGGCCCCTCCCATGAGGCAATGAATCCTCACATTTTCATCGCTTAGTCCTTCAGTGCACATCAACCAGCCTCAGCCTCTGTAGATCTCATGTACAGCAAGTTAGTTCAGTCCCCCAAACATCTGACGTAGAGAATTTGAGGCGACAGCCAGAGGGGGGAGGAATAACTCCCACAGGCTCACCTAGCCGAATGGTCATACCTGGCAATATGTTTCTGTAATAGACAGCTACCCATTACGTGACCCACTGTCAACTCCCAAGGGAGCAGGGCAAAGTCACTGTTTGTCCCTCATCCACTGTGCTTTCTCCAAAGAGTCCACAACCCCAACCCTCTCCCCTGCTTCAGGGAGTAATAGTGAAACCATGAACCATTCTCTTCTTTACTTCCCCCCTGGGAATCCCTCATTGCTGTGGCCCATCAAGCCCAACAGCCCTGCCCTGCACTAGCCACACTTTGCACTTCAATAGCACCTTTATGCCCCTGTGCAGAAAAGATCTCACCAAGTCCTCAGCATGTCCCTGCCATGCCCAATCTCATCCTGCAAACAGACCCTTGCAGTGGGGTGAAGAAGAGGAAAGGCGGGGGCATTGCTCTACTGAGCAGTGGTAGTTGGTGCAGATGGATGGTGGATACAGAGCCAGGCATCCAAGGCATCCCTGGGGTTGTGTTGCCGTGTGTAGCCAAGGGAAGGATACATTCTTTTGCTATCAAACCTCTCAATGCTGAGGACCGTGGTTTTCCCACCTAATTGGCCCACCTTGCTGAGACACAATAAACTCTTCTTCTGTAATTTTCTTTACAATCTTTACCTATAATCCGTCTGCTATTTTAGTGCCGTAGTCCACAAGACAACCGCTCTCACCCCCATCAGGGCTGTCATAGCTCCTGTCATGAAAATAGGGCTGTCTTTCACGGATTGCCTGTAAAAATGAAGAGTTCCAGGGATGCTGATAGTGGAACATGAGATCTGCTAGAAGGGCCAGATCATGGGTCCCTCCAGCTTCCTGCCTCCAACAGTGTCCAGTGCTTCTGAACCAGGCTGAACCTGGCCAGGATACACCTAGATAAGTGTGGCCTCCTGACAGTCACTTAACACCCTGCAGCATTTTGATTAACCCCTTTCATTACACGTGGAAAATAAAACACCAGTCATTGCAAAGATGCAGGAGACAGAACCTATAGGAACCCACAGGAAACCTCTCCACCTCTTACTATGTAGTACAGCTCTAGCCTTTAGGAACATGAAAAAGGAAAGGAATGTAACTGGCTTCCTGTTCCTTTGCTTAAAAAAAAACAAACCAAGCAACATCCACCCTGTTTTTTATTCTTTGAACAGTTGTTTGTTTTCATGGCTTAAAAGTCTGATTTAAGGGATTCAATATTGAAATTCCATATGAAATATAAAGGATCTAATACAAATGAGCACTTGTGTAGAGTCATTGCATTTACCTTTTTTCTCTACTGGATGCTGCCTATTTATGCCTTTGGTTTAGTCCATCCTGAGCCCTGGTCTTTACAGGATCAACTGGGTTAGAAGAACTCTCCTTTGACTTATCGAGCCTGTCCAACAGACCCTGTGCCCAGGCTGGGTTCCCAAGCCCTGTGCTGTCTCTCCTTGACAGGTGGATCTATTCATAACATTCTCAAGCAGCACTGCTTCTGTCTCCCATCACGGCAGCTTACTGTGTAACCCGCCTGCTCATGCACTAAAGCGATCAAGGGCTTCAGCCCACATTTTTTTGCCTGTAGCTTAAACTTCTCAATCTGTCTTTGTCAGTGAATGAAGGCGGTTTCCTCTGACTCCCTTTGCAACACTTGTGGCATGTTGCTGCTAAGAGGCTGTTTTTAAACATGGGGAACTGACTTGAAAAGGCGCCAGTTTATCCATTTAAACCTAGAGTTGCCTAAGGGTGTTGAAAACTGGCTCTTAAACATATGTATCTCCATAGCTAAATCCTGCACCTGCCAACAAGCCAATTAGATGGCTCCATCTTAAGCCAAGTTTCTATGTCCCTGGGTACAGGCTTGCTAGAAGATCTACATTAGCAGATGCCCCTGTTAATATCTAAAAAATGGCTGATAAACTGGCTGTTATGGTGATGGGTGCCAGTTATCAGAGCGTGGATTGGTATGAGCCAGACATTTATGAAGGGGAATAGCTCTGACAGCCTTAGAGTTGAAAGAAGGCTTTTCTTGTCCCCTAGTAACAGTGAACACCCTTGTGTTTCTCAAGCTGTAGGGAGGTTATTTTCTGGGACATGGTAAGGCACATGGGCTCAGCAGGGTATAACCCAAGTGAAAAGATGTTGCCTAATGCAGCTGTCCTTCCAATGCAGCTTGCAGGTGTTGAACTTCAGACTTCATCTCCTCTGCCACAACTTGCATATGGGGATCTTCACAGGGTCAAGGAAAACTGCATCAGCATCTCAGCCTAATGTCACAGAAGACAAGAATCAGAATCACAAATCCCATTTTAACAACTAGAATTCTCCTCAATTCAGTGACAGAGGCCCCTGTCCTGCAAAGAAAGACTTACATACATGAGATAACTTGCAAGGTTCAGTTTATACAAGTGGACAGTACACATCATCATCCAGGGGCAGACCTGAGAGTATAAGATGAGATCCAGTTCTCTTGTAGCAGCTTCTCTGCAGCATGCTCACACCTTCTACGGGTCCAAAGCTTCTGGGTGCAACAAGTGTGGAGTTGCACTGTAATCTCCCAACACAGCTGCAGTCATGTAGACATTGCCTCAGAGACTAAACTACAGCTCTAAAACCAAAGATAACTGCAAAGAAGGTGACAGAAGAAGGTACCAACAGTTTTAATGAAGCATAATTGTTTTGTATTAGATCAGCGAGAGACCTCCTGAAGACACCAACATTGTACCTGGAAAACACTGGAATGAAGAAAAGCACATTGTCTCTCATCCCAAGAGATGTGGAGGTAGAGATAGCCCAAGCACAGAGTTTCCCACAGTTCCCTCTAAAACTATTCCTACAGACATCCCTTGAACAGGCCGCCTCCTCACCTAACCTGATTATCAAATGACCCTGGCAGAACAATGTGCCTGCCTTGAACTGATTGCTGACTCACAAGCCATGGAGTGGGGGATGGGCAGGAGAGGCCTTTTGAGGCACTGTCCCATGTGTATATGTGTGTGTGTGTATGTGTGTGTGTGTTGGGGGCGGGGGACAAATTCCAAGTGCACCATCTCAACTCCACTCTGTTTTACATTCATCTAGATAAACCAGCACAGAATCCTTTGTGGACCATCTGGGTGACACTTTTCACCTGATCTGGCCACAGAAAGCAGTTTATAGCTGTGACCAAACACAAGTGCACAATGCAAACAGCTTTAAAAAGGGTGGATAGGGTGAAAATCTGACCCCCTATTTCATGAGGTATCAGATAAAGATTTTACAAAAGGTGGAGTCTTTTACAACTTGTGTCTGCCAAGCTCGCAGCCTGTAGCTGTTTTCAGAATGGGAGAGAGGAAAAAGGAGCAGAGGGAGTTCAGCCTTGGGGGGGTTCTGCTCCCCACCCCAGGGTAGGAGGCATGTTTTGCAGCCCCTCTAAGGTGTGAGGGCTCCAATTCACCCCGCCTCTTTCAGCACCAGCTGGGGAGCCCCAAAAATGAGCTCTCTCCCTGCCTTTCCCCGCTCCCATTCTGAAAACAGCCAGCACTAGCTGAGAGCCCTGGCTGCTGCTGTGGGAACCTGGCTGCAGGCTCCCAGACCAGGCAAGATTCCTCCCCCAGCCAACCAACCGTGAACTTCTGTTTGGTTTGTAACTCAGAGCACTTTGTTAAAATCATTCTGAGTTACAGCTGGGAGCTGCATTTCTGTCTGCACCCTCTTATATCAATTTAGACGGGGTTCACGCTGATTTTTCAGGCCTGGCTGGCAAGACTTAAGTTGGCTAGAAAACTTAACCTCAGGGCCCTGGGCTGGGACAGTATGGAAAGGGAAAGGTAAGTTCTGTATCTCAACTGCTTCCATGCGCTAATAGCAAACAGAGTTTATGGTGCCTGGATCTTCTGACAGATTTGTTCCGGACAAGGCAACTTTAACTTTCATTGCCCTCTGGCAAATTAATTATTTTTTCCCATGTTTCACACACATTTTCACCAAGTTCACATGCTTCTTAAAGCTCCAGCACTTCCAGCACCCAAGGGTTTTCAATATTTCCCATCTACATGCATGCTGATCACATAACAAAATTGACTTCCAGCTCCATATATCTTTACACCACAAACTGTAAATCTTCACTGAAGCTGTCTTTGGAAACAGGAACGGATGAGAGGAAAGAGAGCAGCAAAGAGGCAGACACATGTGCCTGTGGGTCAAGAAATGCCATGGAGACTATAAACTGCTTGAAGCAGAATCTGTGTCTCACTCTTTATTGTACAGCACCTTGCACCATTGGGTCCTGATCGTAGGTGGGGGTCTCAGTACTAGTGCAATACAGAGTCATTATAATAGGTGTCCTCTGGCTCCGTCTCCAAGAGTGGCCTGGGGATCTGTATTGGGTCCACCAAAAGGTGCAGGGCCTTAAACTGAGAATTTGGGGGCAAACAGAAAGAGGAACGTAGTCTGTTTTTCCTCCCTTCTTTGCTCCCTGGGCACTCTCTGCCTGCTGTGCCTTGCAAAGTGAGGAACTGGGCACCAGTGAGTGATGAGGAGCAGGTCCCCAGAGGGCCTGTGAATGATTAGAACAGTGCTTCTCAATCTTGTTAGACTCAAGGCAACCCTTAGAAAAAGCCGGTTTTTTATTTTCACTCATTTCTTGACAAGGGCAAAAGCCTAGAGCAATTTTTCTGTTGCAAAAAAATTAAAGACAAACCACAACAGGTCAGTATGTTTTAGCACAATGGATTCCTATTTGCAATCTCTGGGTTTATCTGCAGGTGCTAGGTTTGCCCCCCAGCCCAGGCTCTGAGAACCAAGGGAGAAAGGGTGTGTAGCACCGTGAGCAATGCACTTAGTTGGGGTCCCTCTGTGCTACAGCCTTCCCCATGGTAAGGGACCTGGTCATGATGGTACCATGACAACATTTAATTACAGCCTAAGTTAAACCCAGGTGTCTCCCACCTTCCTGCTGCACCTATCACCATGGCATGCAGGCAGTGATGGAACTGACCTGTCCAAATGTTCAGTATCAAGCCTCTTCTTTTTACCAGCCAACCCTGAAACAATTATAATGCAGTGGGGCCCCTGAGCTGGTCAGAGGCCTGTTCAGTTGTACATCTGGTCTTGCTCAGACATCGGCCTTGATTGCAAGTGCCCAACAAGCTAAGGCTTTAGGTCACTTAGCATGACACGTGTTAGGCCCTGTCTGACCTCCAGTTTTATCTGTGTTGCAACTGGGTCTATCTCCAAGTTGGCTCTGCTGATGGGGTCTTTGGCCAATGACTGCAACTTTTTTATTTCTGCTGTGGCCTCTATTAGCACTAGGTGAACATGTGAGTTGGAGGTTTGTAGTAAATTAAAAGACAGTTAAAAAAACCAGCATTTAAAAAAATCAGGTTTCAGATCTAAAGAGAAGCTGCCAACTGAAAATAAGCTCTCTTCTGAAGGAACAATTGTGCCCAGGGTTGTTAAAGTGACACCTAACGGATTCCTATAACCAAAGGGAATTAGAAAGAAAAAACGCCTACATCCTTCTTTCTGCTTGTTTGTATACCACATCTGACAGCATTTAGGGATGCTCTGTACTGGAAAAGTTAAACTCGCATGATTACAGTGGTTAAGGGGGGATTTTCTAATCAGTCTACTGGTTTAAGACCTGTAATATCATCTTGGTTATACTGGTAAAAGGCATAGTGTGGACACAACATACTGGTATAGTTGCAATCTGGAGTAAACTAGACCAATAAAAGCACTGTTATAATTGTATAACTGCATCCATGCTGGTGGGTTTTTTAATGTCATAACTATTTGCAACTAAGCTTTCTAGTGGAGACAGCCATTTCTGCATTGCTGGGTTCACTGGTTTGTTTGTGTAGTGAGTTTCCCTGTGAAAGAGCAAAATATTTAGGAAAATAATTGACACTAGAACCACAAAACAAGTAGCCGGTGTCTGTGACAGGCTTTGTACCTCTCCCCCCTTGTCCCCTGCTTAACCTGTGGCAGGTTAGGGTGCTATGCCTTGTAATTGTATGACAGGGTTGATAGTGCAGGTTTAGTGATAGGTTAGACAAGGTTTTGCCTGGGATGGTTTGGGTGGGGATGATCCTGCCTCAGGCAGGGGGTTGAACGAAATTACCTCCTGTGGTCCCTTCCAGTCCTACTTTTCCATTATTCTATATGAATACTAGAACCTCACTTTTAAAGTGACTGGATTTACACTGATGCTCATTTTTCTTCACTAAACCCACACGCTACACTGATCATATAATCACCCAATTAAACATGGTAAGA